GAAAGTTAGAACAGAAGTAGATTTATAGATGTGAATGTTCTCATTGAGGAACAAGGGGGTAATCTTTTAAAAAGGAATAGTTAAGATTTCAGTTGACTATAAACTCAATATAAAGCAATAATGCAATTTGGCTGCCAAAGAAGTTACTAAAACATTAGGTTGTTTTAATATTTTATTGCTTTGAGGAAAGATAAGCATCCTATTACCTTCATATTTCAGGGGCTACATATTTTTAAGCTTTTATATTTGTTTGACTTACAAAAATCAGAACGCTGTAACAAGACTTAGATCATCTCATAATATTTGTCTCGTGAAATTGGATGTCTCTCATCAAATTTCAGGATTATGTTTGAATTAAAATTATTTGTAAATTCTCCAGGATGATAGATATGTTATTAATTGGTCAAAAAGCCCAAAATATAATGGGAATTATGAAAAAGGTGTTGGGAGTGGGGAGGGAGAAGATTTGAGATGGAAAGTTGTCCAAAGCATTCTTAGTGCTTTAAAAGTGACTATTTGATATCTGTAATTAGATCTCAGAACATTACAAATGGATTTTCTTTGCAAGTGGTAGTGCTCTATAGAGAAGAAAATGATGTGGTCGCTTTTGGTTGTCTGGTTGCTTTTCCCAAGAAAAGTTGACATCTTACCTTGAAATTTTGTTTCCAGGGCCAATTAAAAAAAAACAAAACCATTTCTGTTCTGACTTTCCAGCTGCTATCTCTCTTGACCTTTGTTTTTAAAGAACAAGATATTTCCATTTGTAAAGGCTTGTTTAAAAAAAACAACATACAGAAGGTAAGATAGTGGGCCCCCTTCTGTGTGAATGGAATTCCTAAGCAGCTGACAAGAGGGAACAGTTGTTAGGAAAGCTGGTAAAGAAAATGGCAGCCATAGACCAAGTCTTGGTGAGCAATAATTTCAGTGCTCTCTTTAGTCTATCTACCAAGCAAGATAAAATAAGTGTTTTCCCCTAAGGCAGGTTAACACTTCAAGTGTGAAGGAAATACATTAGGGACCTTATATGCCTTTAGTTCAGAACACCTTATATATCTCTGCATGCATACACAAATATGCATCCTCTGTGTGATGGGATTCCAGG